GCCAGAGAGCTCCCAGTTTATGCAAGAGGCAGGTGATTTTTTTATTCTAAAATCCCATATAAGTGGAAGAGAAGGCAGTGACCACCAGCTTCCCAGCTACCTGCACATGCGGGTGTGACAGAAGTAAACTACCTACTTACTTTGCCTCAGGGAGCTTCAGCTGCAGGACTACAAGCAAGAAGCAAACCTTCAACTTTCTTAATTCTGAATTCACCTTGTCTAGATTTAGACAAGATAAACCTTAGGAGCCCAGCTGAGATCCCTCAGTGAGTGAATGAAACTTACAGACTCTGAACAAGGTAGCTCAGTCTTCCATACCTACGGGAACCTTCCAAATATTTTTATTCATTATACAAGTCTTTTCCATCATTTTTCCACTTCATACCATCTGCTAAATTTGTGCTGGTTTAGGGGTGGTTTTATTGTATTCTTTTCTGGGCTACAAAGTTGTCTCTACCTGGTATGGAGGAGGGAGTCCAAAATCTGATTCCTGCAAATAATACTCTGGTAGCTGGAGCTTCAGTGGGAATCATTTGCTTGGCCACTGCTATGTGTGCACTGGATAATTTGCTCTAACAACTCAAAAAAGATTGATTATCTTGAAATATTAACATGATTATTGCTGAATTTTCTTCCATAAGAGAACAAGTCATCTTGTTAATAATAAGTCAGGATAAAAATCTATATACAGTTCTGGGCAGTTTTCTCACATTTTATTTCCATTTTGAACCTGGTGCCTCACTGAAAAGCTTCACTGAAAAGATGATGAGATGTAACCCATTACTAGCTACAATGCATATATGGACAAACACAAATTATTTTTGTAGAAATAACGCTCTCTGTTGTTTTGCTGTTGAAACTGGAGTGAGTTTCCACTGTGGTTTCTGCTTGACCCTGACACTGTGCAGTGAGCACAGGCTCTTTTCCTTTCTCTGGGGAGGGTTGTTTCTGTGCCTCATTGCATCACCACCAACAACAGAAAGTGAAAGCTCTGCAAGCTTCTCTAAGCTGTGAGACCTCCAAGACACGCAGCTCTCTCTCATCCTTTTCTAGTGGAGATTTTGCTCTCCTCAAAGTAAGAGGAGGCAGAAAATGGAGAGATTACGTAAGGCACTGGGTTTTTGCATCCGTCACCAAACTGTTCTGGGTTACAGCACTGTGTCCCTGCTGACAGCTGCCAGCGAGGAGATCTTCTCTTCTGTGGTGTTCAGGTGTCCCTGCAATTCTGGGAACACGCTGTATGGCTCTTTCTTCCTCATAGTGCCTGCCTTCATCCTCTTGCTGCTTGGCTACATGGTGAACACCAGGATATGGCGCCTGTTGACAGGCAGCTGCCCTCCAGGGAAGTGCTGTGACTGCAGCCCCTGGGGAACCTGTGCCTGCTTCTGCCAGGTGTTGGTGCCGGTGACAGCCAGAGCCTTGGTGGCTCCACTCACCTGGATAGTGGTGGCCCTGCTCAGCTCCGACTTCTACGTGTGTGCAGCCAGCGGGAGCAGCCTGTTAAAGGATCTCATCTGTAAAGATCGAGGACAAGAGTGCCAAGACCTGCTGTTCAAAATACCCTGCGATGAGGAGTTATCAAGAAAAATACCAAGTGAATTTCGCAGCCTTCAGGCACACTCCCAGGTAAAGCCTCACCTCTGTTCTCCTCACACTCTGGGTTTTGACGCTGACTCCTCAATGTATAGTAGTGCCTTCTGGAGACCGTAAACAGTCCTTCTCTCTTACACTGTATAACATCATGTTCCACAAGTATATGACTAGCAAAAATTCACTAGCAAAAAAACAGTAACAGAAAAGCAATAGGTGTATATTTATGCTACTTTCTGGGTTTGCATATTTGTATGTTTGTCATTTACAAAGCCTCATGCAAAGTTGGGCAGGAAACCAGCCTAGAGACTGGGACTTTACAAAACAAATTTTCTTCTCAGTCAGCTTAGGCATGATGTGAGTTCTTCCCCTTTTCCACTTTTTAAACCTCTAAATTTCTCAAAATTCTGTAAAAAGGCATTAGTTGAGGGGAAGCTGAAATCACTATTAGAGGGAAAGCTGATGCCTCCTTGCAATAGAGAACTGGCAAGTGAAACAAATAAGGTCAGTTTGTTTGACTATGAATCTCAATGCTTGAACGTAATAATAGCTTTACAACTGTATTCTACCAGAGTAATTAAAATATATATCTGTCTTGTTAAAGTTTCTTTCCAAACTTGTGTGTGGATTTCTTTGTTTGGAGTGCAATGAAACCTCCAAAGTTTGGCAGCACTTCAGTTTTATTTCTAGGTTTGTATGGATCTCATCTTAATTCCAGTAGGAAAATCAGGCTTTGTAACTTTTCTTCAGGAAAACATTAAGGCTGTTTAAGGGAATGAAGTTTATAAGAGTTTGTAATTACTTGGATTTTTGTAAGTTTCTGTTTAGTACAAATGCTTATTAACATTTGCTAAATATTTAGCATGCTCCTTCTCAAAGAAAGAGGCTGACAAGGAGCAAACTCTGTACCACTGAATTCAGATAGGGTAAGAAAGGAGAAAAATCAAGGAAGACTGATTGTTACTGATATTGCAATGAAATCTACAGGAAACATCCAGTCAAACAAAACTAGAAAAAGTGAAAGAGCATTTTTGTTACTGACCACTATTTTTAATATCTAATCTACCGTCTACAAAATTAAGAACCAAAAAGAACACCAACTCCTTTTTCTTTAGCACTCAATGATTTTTCATTTGAAAAAAAGTCTCCCTGGGGTAAAAGGGGATGTTGTAGGATCTCTGCCAGGAGTTTCCAGCTAAGTACCACTTAAAGGATAGATCAGCATCTACTAGGACACCTGGTTTTGATGGGACCTCTGAGACTTACCTAAGGATGTTAAAATCGTGTATACAACAAGAATGAATTCCCATATTCAATAGCCAACTCTGTGTCCTGCCTACAAAATGTACAGGACACAACTTCTCCAGTGCGTTGTGGCAACTGCCTGTTTTTGCAGGCTCAGACATCAGGGAGAGCAGTTACTGTCCACAAGCAGATAGAACACAGTCAGCAGGATGTCTGATTTCAAGCACGAGGCACACAGGGTGATTTTGCACCCCCTGTCCCATAAATCTGACCACAACCGAAGAAACTCATGGTCAATAAATTGCCTTAAAACTTAAGAAAGCTGGATATTGTTGCAATGGAGCTGCAGTATATAAGAGAAACAGAGGTTTTTAATGTTGTTTAAGTGAAAATGTTTCAAAATGGCCTTTTATAATTTCCTGCTAACTCACTTTCTTCTTCCCAAAATCCTCCTCACAGTCTTATCTCTATTCAGGAATGTCCTGAATAGATATTGGGAAGTTTTCTCATTGGGCTTTATCTACTCCTTTCTTTTGGTTGTTAACCCTTGCCTACCATTGGTGGTTCTGCAAAGTCCCCTGAACTTTTAATTGGTTATTTTGTAATCCCCCAAAACCTAGATATATCTGATCCATGAACAATAAACTCGCTCTCCTCTGCTGGCCTCTGTTGCGAGTCTTTCGGAGCTCCATGGGGACCATGTGGTGGGGGGAGGGGGGAGTATTTTCCCCTCCAGGTAATGGGCTGAAAACCCCAGGTCCTGGTACCCCTTTTCCAATCCACCGTCGCAGGATATAACTGAGAAAATAACTTCAGACCCCCTTCTCTTTTCTTGGTATTCATCCTTAATCCAAGAAGATCATCTCAGGGGCACAGAAGCTTTGTATGGCTGGCTGAATCGTGTGCATGGAATCCCCTTTCTGGCAGCAAGCAGACAGTTACATGCACTGCAGGGAGTGTCTTTGTTTACAATTTTCATATCTTCTTCAACGCTATTTTCTATACTTGTTCATACGACCACACAAAACCACCATTAACCTATCTCTCTTCTTTCCAGTTGATAGCGTGGTTCCTGATAGCCTGCATCATGACTGTGGCACTGATTTCAACATGCATCAGCCACTGTTGCTCCCCGGTCAGCTATCTTCAGCTCAAATTCTGGAAAATTTACTCAGAAAAAGAACAGGAACTCTTTGAGATCAAAGCCAAAGAGCATGCAACCAACCTGGCAGAAATAAATACAAATTGCTTTTTTGAAGGCACTGACCCAGCATCATTTCATACTCCCAGCAACAAAGACTGGAAGAAGATTTCGTTCTTGTTTACATTCAATTCACAAGAGCAGTATTACAGCGTGATACACAAGTATGTGAACACAAACAGAGACAACAGCGCCAAATCTGAGGAAGGATGTCAAAGTCCCACTGCTTTAGAAGTTCTGGATGAAACACATTCAATTGATTCTTTGTAATGCTGTTAGTCTTTTAACTAGAAGAGTCTTATTCTGTACTCTTACTGAAATATATGCAAATGTTATGTAAAAGATGATAGTTGTAACCCTCAGCAGATTTGGTTTTAAATAGACTTTATTACTTTTGCTTAAGTATGCTTAAATAAATACATCTGTCACAATGGGAGTTTTCATATGTTGATGTTCATTAAGAAGAGCCACATGTTTAAAATTATCAGCATCGGCAAAGAGGTCAGCACATTCTATGTCAGATTATTACCAAACATCTTAAGGGCACTTGGCAGCTTGAGTGACAATATCAAAACTTATCAAAGAGACAAAAATGAATGGAAGATTTGATCAGAAATTCAGCTTAGTTTATTAGTTCTCACTTGACAAGCTTTCAGTGCAGCAGGAAGATACTTACTTTCAGTCAATTAGTTGTTCAAGGCAAGGACAATATCTTCTAAAATCTGGGAAGCAATTAGCATTTTGAAGCTACCTATGCATAACAAAGGGGTCCATCGAATGATTTCAGCTGCATACCAGCGTGAATTGCTGACCAAATAGCTTCCAGTCATTTTACCTCTATGTGCTCATCAGCTTTGGGAAGTACCAGTGAAGCTAAAAGCTCCCATGGCAATGCATTTTCATTACGACTGTCTGATTTTGGTCACCTTTTGCAGCAGTCCTTCATAATTATCTCTACTGCTAATTTCCTGTAATTGTAAAGCTCTTTAATGGAAAAAAAAAGAAAAAAAGGTATTTGACTGAATGCTGCAGGGAAAATACACTAACATTAAACCATTAAACTTACCATTCACATTCTTCCTTTTATTTTTCTGAAAAGTACTTCATTCCTATGGGATTTTTAAAAGAACAATCATACAGTACAGTGTTTTGGCCCTGGCATCAGCACCTAAGATACCTAAGCTACACCTAAGTTACATTTGTTTGTCCCTGCCAAATACACTATTTAACTTTATCCAGAATGGAGTCTATCAAAGTGTAAATTAGCTTGTCATGAGGGGTTAGGCTTGTGCATAACATGGCAGTGTATGTGAAGCTTATCTATTAACAAACATTTATAGCACAGCCACATATTTATGGATATTATAAATCTGCAATCCATAGTAGGAAATAATAATATTCTTACCAAAGAACATCAAATTATAAGAATAAATATATCGATTTTGAGTGAAGAATAGCAAAGTTCAGTTTTCATCTGAAAAGTTTTTTCTTAAGATAGCATTTAGGAGAAGTTAGTCAGATTGTTTGGTCTGGGCTGTCCTTTTACTTACTCACAGAAATCCTCTTTTTCTACACAGTAAACTTTGAAACTATTCAGACAGACAGAAAGGAATCCCAAGAAGTTATTTGTTATACTCATTTTCCAAGGAAGAAGGAAGGGAAGAGCCTATTTTAACTAGCTGAATATAATGAGCTTGGAAGATTCTTTCTCACTATAAACTGAAAGCATAACACATAAAGGGAAAACAAGATTTAATTATATATGTAGAAAAGAATTTTAAAAATCATTCATTTTGTCACAGTCACTGACTTGCTCAGTTCTCTTTTCCTTCCAAGAAATTAAATGATAATAGAGTATCAAGGGTCCAGTTTTGTTACTTGTGTCTCCAGGAAACATCCTTCAGTTAAAAATGTTACCTTTTACCTCTCATACTGAAGACTAACAGGTAACATTTGGCCAGTAGGATGTTGGTGGAAAAAGTAAAAATGGCCATATAAAGTAAGGTTTTTTGTGTCAGTCACATGTCCATTTCAGCCAGCTAGACTTAACTAGCAAAAACTGCATCGAGGGCTCCTGTATTCAGACGAATTCCACAAGACCTTTTAGCCCTGATTTAAAACAACAACAACAACAACACCCCAAACCCCCAAACAAAAACAAACAAACAAACAAAACAAAACAAAACACAACCAACCAACCAATAAGTAGGTAAACTTGTTAGTACCTGTAACACATTGTTACATGACATGGTTACATGTTGTAACTTACTGGGAGCAGGTAACAGGAGTTGGGTTGAGGCCAAGGCCAGGTAATGAATAGCTTAGTTTTTGTTCTGTACAGAATTGCTCTCTAAAAGCTCCATTACACTTTGCCACCACTGTAAGACACTGTTAAGATATATGAAAGGAAAATGACTATCATGAGGATTGCACAGGGTGGGAGTGAACCCTGCAGTCCCCAAGGTAAGAGACGCCCTTCACTCAGTAGGATTAAGAGGTAAACAGACTGAGGGAAAAACAGGAGAAAAGGGTACAAATCACAGTGATAAAATCAGAGTTAACTCTGGGCTTCAATGAACTTAATTGTCTGTATTTCAGTTTAAAAGAAGTACTTTGGTGAGGAGAAAGTGATCTGGCTTAGTGGGTAGGGTACCGTGCTAGGAACTGGGGTTTTGTCCAACCCTCACCTAGATATCTTGTGTTACATAGAAAAACATTAAACCCTTCCTGTAAATCAAGTCTTTGTGAGGCTGCTCCTTCTCTATTTCCCAGTCATGTTGTGGCAAAAAGTCCACTGCCAAGGGGAAGATGTTCAACAGGTGGTGGTGAAAGTCAGGTAAGAGCAGACACAACGACCATCAAACTAGTTGTGTGGTAACCTTAAAATTTTCATTCAAGTTTCCTTAGGCAAGTGCAGGTTTAAAGTGACTATACATCAGATACATCATGCTTTGTTCAGTTTGGTCATAAGATGAGTGCTCTTGAAAGAGAGGGCTGACATGAAAAGGCTTGGAGTAACACAAGCATTGCTGCAGTTGTCAGAATTGTGTGCATACAAGACTGAACATGCCAGCAAAACTGCATATGGGGCCTGGAAGAGCTGTAAGGAACCCAACCAGCTCCTGCCATCAGTGAAGCTGCATTCCTCTCTGGTATCAAAGCAGCAGGATGTCCAGTGTGGAGGACAATAAATGGCAAACCATTACACATCAAAACGAGCGACACACAGCATACAGCAGCCAGAGTGGATGAACTCTTTATACTTAAACACGCAGAGCCAGGGAAATAGAGTACCTCTGAGTAGCCATGCTTTGAAACATAACTGTAAAACAAAATGGGAAAAGGTCATCATCTTTGTTTGAGAACAGTTGATGTCCAAATGAATATTTTGCATCCAGCACACACTAAATACTGAGATAAAACTTGCATTAAGCTCAAGAGCATAGTTATGTGAGAAGGAAGGGCAGGTCATTTTGATCATTTTAATATCTGTGTCATGACAATTAACCTTGCTCTTCCTTGCCCTGTCCCTCCTGTTTACGGCCCAGCTGTCTCCACCTTTCAACCAGGTGACTGATGCAGCTGGATCAGTGAAACCATTTTTACCTTGCATGTCTTCTTCTGAAACAAAAGGCACAAAATATCCCTCAGCAAGGGTTTCTCCCAATACTCCTTTCATTTATTCCTTTTGTGCTTTCTGTCTTCAGGCTTCCTTAAAAATGTAATTCCTATTTCTGTCACAGCATCACCCTTCAGCCTGTCCTGGAGGAAGGTGACTTCCGCTGATAGGTGAACCTAGAAAGAATCAAGTCTGATCAGTTAAGAAAAGAAATCCCCAGTTTTCCACCCTCCTCCAGTATAAGAGCTTTTTTTCTCTCTCTCTTACCACAAGAGGACGCCCTTTCTCAGGTTTCAAAAGAAACAGATTTCTAGATTGTTTTAAAATGTCTTTCCCAACTCAGTTAATAAAAATTTATATACAGTGGGATTTGTATAATATATTACCCTTCATTCCAGTGCTTTGCTTTCTTCTGAGAACCTAAACTGTATACTTGATTATTTTGTGATCATGGAATTTCCTGGTCACGTACTAAAATTTATGATACAATACTTTTGTTAATTAGTCTTGTATCAGATACTGTAACTCTGAGCCTGATGTACATACATAATACTTGCTCAGGTTTATTTTCTCTTGAAATATAAAATACAAGCCAAATCAGTTATTAGCAGAAACATAAAGCAGACCAAAAGTAATCTCCCAGAAAAAGCCACAGAAGGTCTACAACTCAGTAACTTTCCAGTTATGCCCTCTATTTATTATTTTGTAAAAGTCTTATATTTAAGAACAAAATCTGGAATGCCATTTGATACACTTCTCATGCTTTGATTTTAACATTATATTTATCCACATTTCGTTCTCCCTTTCAGTAGGTGCTGCAGTAAACTGATAATATTATCTATCTGCATGTATTTGAATCTGGGGTCAGTATTACTGGCTAAAGCTGTGGAGGAAAGCACTATGGGCTCAAGGAGCAGTGGAGGAGAGCATGCCCCCATGGCTCTCCATATTATGTGTTAGCTAGCTCCCCAATCCCACCTGGCTTTTGCACCCAAGTCGGCCACTGAAGAGCCAGGCAGGGACAGTGTGGAGGTGAGACAATCAGTGTGTTTCTCTTTCTCAGGATCCAGGATCAGTTTGACCCTCTTTTATTTAGACATAGACATTTAATCTGAGATGTTAAACAATACTGTATTTTCATTTATCTGAGTAGGTTGGTTTGCTTTCCTGTGTCTCCGTAAATTAACAAAGAAAGCAGAAAACAGATGTGCACTTCCTTACCATTTCCAAAGCACCTCGAATCACCCCACAGAGGAGGTTACAGTAGCAAAGTGACGCTCGTTCTGCTGGCAGCTCCTCCACAAAATCCACCAGTGGGTTTTTGTCCAGGATTAAGGAGAATTCATTTCCTGCGGCACTGCTGCAACTTACACTAGGGGTGACCCCAAGGTACGTCTTGAAAGCAACCTGAAAAAGGATGAAACTTTGCTGCTTGAATCTGCTGTATACAAACCAGAGGTGAAACTTTAGAATGCAGCATCCTGTAGACTAGTTTTGCCCCAGGAAAATAGGGGGAAGGGCCAGACAGGCTAGAAATCAAACTAGATTTGTCTTTTCTGTATTCAGCTTGAGCCAGCAATGCAAAACCAGATTTATGCGATGCTCCAGGGAAACACAGCAGAAGGGTCTCTGTTCTGTCTTTGATGTTCCTACATTTACAATCCCATACAAAGTGGTTTTACTATTATCACTCGTCTGCTTTTAGTCTGCTTTCAGTCATGTTATACTCCCCTGGGACCATTAGCCTTTATACCAGGTCCTTCGCTACATTGCCACAGCTTTTACCATCACAGCTCAAGATCTCCTGCAACTGGTGTGTGTTTTTCACTCTGATCTCCATCTGCAGTCTCACAAATAACAACAGTCTCACAAAAATAACAACAACCCACCAGGAACACCGACTGCCAAGACTGCAAACTTGTTCGATTACTTAGAGCATTGCCTGCTTGCTTTCTGCCGCCGCCGAATGTTACTGTAAATGTGCAGCATCTGCCCTGCTGGCGGCGGGGTCGGTTCTGCAGGCAGTGACATCACGGCGTTATCTCGGCGGTGCGGGGGCAGGCGGGCTGCTCGTCCTCGGGAGAGCTCTCCCCTGCTGCAGACCGCTGCGAGGATAAACTGCCTTGGTTCTTACCTCCCTAGTGAGTATCAGACATGGATGCTTTCCAAACAATCCTAAAGTTCTTCATCAACCAGAAAACCGCCATAGGTTACAGTTTTATGGCACTGCTGACAATGGGAGGTGAACGTGTGTTTTCTCTTGTTGCTTTCAGATGCCCATGCAGCAGTGAAAACCTCAGGTACGGTTTAGTATTTCTCTTTTCCCCAGCTCTTGTTTTGCTAGTTATTGGATACTTCTTGAACAGCAAGACCTGGAAACTCTTTACAGGATGCTGGGTGAATCCCAGGAAAATATTCCCCAGAGGGAATGTCTGCCATTTCTTTTACGTCTTTGGACAAATCACTTTAAATGCCCTGATTGCCCCAGTGATGTGGCTTTCTGTGGCTTTGCTCAACGGGACCTTTTACGAATGTGCCATGAGTGGCTTGGACAATCCTGACTACTTAAATGCGGTTTGCAACAGAAAATCTGACAAGTGCTTTGGAGAGCTACACATGGTAGCCTGTGGCAAAAGCTCCATGCCCCTTTCAGAGAGTGATGAACTGAGACGAACACTTCAAGCACAGTCCCAGGTAAGAGAAATTATAAATAAAGAGCATTATGCAAATTGTATTGCTGCTGTGATTCATCTGTGGAAGATCCTGATGTCAGATGTTATGTTAAAACCATTGGTTTTATGTAAACAGTGTTTTGGCAAAGTGCAGCCTCGCAAAATACAATCCATCTTTCAGTTCAGTTTGAGCTGTTCCATGCTTCCTGAGGGGCCCCACATACGGCAGTCTCAATAAAACCAGAAAACTTTAGGCTTTCTTCCTGAATGGAGATAGCTCTAAAGAGATAAAAACGACTGAATTGATTAAAAGGCTGAATTAACAGATGTCATTTCATTAAAGAGGTCTGTCTTAATAAAAAATTCATGCTATACTCTCTTATTTTAAACTATTGTAATAAATGTACATTGTGCAATGTAGAAGATTGTGATAACTGTATTGAAACTTTAGGTCACTAACAGCAGAAAGATACTGGAAAATAAGATTTTTGACAGACTTGTGACTGCCTACATAATGTGTTTCTGTTTCTGTTCCTCATATTCATGATACCAGATGCGAGCACATTTTTGTCCTGCTTAAAGGAAGGAAGAAATACTAGCATAAAGCAAGCAGAACTTGCAAAGCTGAGATTTTATTACATTTTACAATATTTGTGTGGTACAGTTCTGCTCACTGCTTTGTAACACAAATAAATTCTGAGATAAAAAAAACCAAAACAGTGGAGAAAAAAAAAAAAGCCACAGAAAAGGAAAACCACTGTGGAGCCAGGAAGTGTTTGTCAGGCAATTGTATCCATCTGGAACAATTTCCTCCCCAAGAGCCAGTTTTATTTTCAAGTCCTCATGCAAATAAGACTGGAATGCAGACGAAGCCTGCACTGCAGCCAAAGCAATTTATTTGAGAGTTTCAGAAGGAAATAACAAATAGTGCTTAAGAATCGAAGTTGTATGTACAGGAAATAGTGAAAGACCAGTGACTCGGTTTATAGCATGAGAATACATGACTTCATTTTCCAAGCTGCAAGAAAATGAAAATCTGCTCAAAAGAGCAATTTCTCAAAAACCCATAGAAATCATCAGTCAGTACAAAGTGATTGGGAAAAATAAAATAAAGCTAAACTATTCTTCCCTACAAGTTCCTAACAATAGTTGTTTGTCAAGCTTCTCTGTTTTACAGACTTCCCTGAGGAAACTTTCTATATTCCCTCAGCTAAACACAGATTTTTACTGGTGGTTATTTTTTATTAAATCAGTGCAAGAGGTCACATGAGAAGGGTTGCAGCTCTCCATTTCATCACCACTAGAGCATGAGAAATCAGTTCCAGTTCATATGGGTCTCTGAAACCTAGAATATTTATTCCACACTGGAATATTTTCCACTGTTTGCAGACAAGTATTACAATTTTTGCAAATATGACACATTGCAGTGGAGTAGATGAGTAAAACTATTGGCTAGGCCAGTGGTACAAGGCATGAAAATATTGTGTTCACATCTCTGCTCTCCTTAGAGGAGAACATCCCACAATAACAATTTCAAGCATATTTTTCCACCCTCATCCCTTGCTGGGGTAGCTCTTTCTTTTAAAATGTTCTTAACAGAATTTCGTCAAACTCTGAAGCTGCAACAGGAAAAAAAAGCTGAGTGATGGTGGAAAAGCACATTTCAGCAAAAATAAAGTTCTCTGAAAATACAGAAATTGTTTCTAATCAGTGTGTAGATGAATAGGGTTCAGTTCCAGTGCTAACACAGATGTACCAATGCACATAATATTTCTTCTTTGTCATGCCCTCCTGGCATTCTCATGGAATTGGGCAAAAAGGTAATTTTTTAACTGGTTTTAGTATAAAAATAACTTTCTACTACAAAGGATTGATTCATCAAAGTCAAGAAAGGTTCACAATAATAGCATAGATTCCAGTGAATATTCTGCCAAAAGAATTGGGGAACCCTTCAAACTGGGGAACACTTTAAATCTGAGGCTATCTTCTATATTCCTGTTAGTTAATGCAGTTGTTGTGTTTGAGGTTTTTTTTAATTAAAAAGAAGTCAAAACAACACATCTAACTGAGCTCACAGTTTAAAAGGCTGTTTGATCTGGGACAAAAGATCATCCTCTTTGGTTTTGTAGTTCATGAGGATTTAAAATTGTGTCAATACTAATTTTTGTTGGGTAATTTTATTTAACACTTCCAGGAGATAGAAAACTTTTTACCATCTAGTGATTGATATTTTATTCTCCAGATGCACTTTTCCCTTTGTGTGACAGAATACAGAGAGCAATTCCAGCACACTACAATACCAGATGGTTATGGTTTTGCAATAAACTCTCACAAATATCGTCTCTAAATTACCCAGATACTACTCCTACTCTCAGGTCTGCTCTCTTTTCTGTATAGCTCTATTCAGCCATAACATTATTTGATTGATCATTTAGACCTCTCATAGATTTTTCTTCATATACAGTCTTGTAGTTGAGGACTGATTTGAAATCATCTGTCTCTGAACCTGCCACTGCCATTGTACTGGTCAAGTCTCTTCAGGGAACTGTTATCCAAGTTCCCTTTGTTATAATATGGTCTGGGGAGGCAACAAGATCTAGTATGAATCAACTCTTCAGGACTATTTCACCTTACACTGTAAAAATCAACCAGCTTTTGCCTTCCTGAGAAAAAGATCCCAAAATGAGTACTTTTGAGAGTCTCACTCTGATGGATTTCTCCTTCCCTTCAGTCCCCATATGGATGCCCCATTAACATCAATGCCAGCACTAAATGCAAACTGGAATGAGATGCCTGCAGTAGGGTTCCAAAAAGAGCAGCAGGTGCTCCCTGCAAAGTGTGGTCACTCAGTCAGACATTCGTGATTTAAGTAGCATTTTCACTTGGGTCTTTTTAACCTGAAACTCATTTCTTTTGCTTTCCCAGATTTTAGGCTGGTGTGTGATAGTTACCGCAGCCCTTCTCTCCCTGCTAACCACTTGCTGTGCCAGCTGCCAGTCAAAAGTCAGCCATCTCCAGCTGATGTTCTGGAGAGTGTATGAGGGGACGGAGAAGGAGCAACTGGAGCAGATTTTCCAGCTTTATGCCACCAAGCTGAGCGAGCGAAACCTCAAGTGCTTTTTTGAAAACAAGGAACCAGAACCAATTTCCCTACCAGCTTTTCAGGCGTGGGAAGATGCTTCCCAGCTTTACTCTTTCAGCAGCAGTAAACAGCATTATAGCACAATTCACAAGCTAGTTGAAGAAGGACAGAAAGGAACCAGTGAGGAAAGGGAGACAATGCTGGACTCTGTGGACAGAAGGGAAATACCATAAATCAAATATATTTTCAGCTTTTTTATATCTTGCTAATATAACTGCTTTCATCTCTATTTTTTTTTCACAATGGTCTCCTTCATCATGTTCCCTTCCAGTTACACACTTGCTCCAAAAGGATGGAATGAAATTATTTCCCTCCATGAGTGAAAAGGCTGCCATGCTTCATGTCACCCAGGGTTCACTCTTTACTAATGTCACTGGCTGACAGCAAGCGCTGACAGCAAAAAGAGGTGAATAATGACTTCTACAAGAGGTTTTAACAATATCCTATGTAAAAGGTGCTGTTGTATTCTTTATGTAAATCAAGAGACTATCATTAAATAACATGAATATGATAATAGAAGATGTGTGTGGCTTTCTGACAGCCCACAGAAAGTAAAGGTTTTCCTTTCAAGTCATTTCCAGGCCAATTGCAGGTACAGACTTGTTTTAAGACCTCAGTGATCCCTCAAGACCTCTCTCTTTGGATAATTTGCCAAACATCTTCTCCATATTATCTTCTCCAACTGAGAATTTGTTTGTATGGGTATCAAATTTTAGTTTTGAGTGGGTTTCAGGCACTGGGTGCAGCCTGTAGTGCTATGTAATACTGTTTGTACTGGGCCCACAGTTAGTGTACAACAGAGGGCCTGGAAGGAAATTCCACTTTTCAAGACAACAAAATATTTTTGCAGAAGACTGATTTTTATTTTTCTCATTATCTTAGAAAACTTAGTGTTGGGAGCAAGAAGAACTGGCAGGTAAGGTAACTGCATAATCGATGCCTCTGACAAATGCGTTTCACCCCAGAGCCCTACGCTTTACCTCACCCACTTGGAATTCACCACGTGGCTCTCACACAGGGTGTCCATCCAGAGTATTCTCAAACACCGTATAAAAGGAGAACAAAGTTACTTTCCCTAGGGTGTCTGGGCAGGCTTTTACACAGCGTTTTACTGCCAGTCTCTCCGAGTCTGCAAAGAATCGTATTTTTGCTGTACTTGAGTCAGGCTCTTATCAACAAACCAGGGCACTCTGCCCAGCTGTTCACATACTCACTGTGCTTCTTTCAGCAGGCAAAAGTATCTATAGCCATATACAGACAATTACTCTTTCTGAAATAAAATCCAAGAGCTAATTCCATTGTCTGCTTAGAATTTTTTCTGTCTGTTTTGAATAACCTGTGACCTTTCAGACAATGTTTAAACTTCTTTTATCCCGGGTGATCCACTTATCAACAGACTTAGAACATGTCATACATTTAATGCTGGAACTGAAAGCACAGATGCAACACTGCCAGAATGAAAGTCACAACAGCAGACACGTCTGACACTATGCCTGACATATATACAATGGGCTCCTCTCCTGGTATAGCATGCACCTACTTCCAGGCTATATGACCATTCCCATTTTTCTGTTTTTATCTTTCTTTATGAGAGCTGCCCCAACATCTTCTGTTCAGTCCCATTTCACCTTCTCCCTACATACAAGAGGAAAGGAAACACATCCTGCTGTCTGGGCCAACCTGTCTTTCCCAAAACTGTCTTTCCACCTCCTTCCTCGGTGGTACCACAGAAAACCAAAGAAAGTGGGGATGCAAAGGGGAAGACACCATGTAGGTTAATAAGTTGATCAAGGACTATGGGAAACATGTGGATTGATGTACAAATAAGGCCTCCAGTGTGATATAATACCTGGGACACAGAGCCAAAAGCATAGCTGGTAGAGGGAAAGGTGGAAGGACAGAGTGATCCCACTTAAGGCCTTTGGCATCTTCTTTTCCTTTGGATGAAATCTCAAAGCTCAAAACTCTGCACTTGAGTAGTCAGGGCCACATCAGTGCTTCCCAGCCCAATCTTCTATTATGGAGGGACAAAACCAAAGTGTGTTCTCCCCTCCTCATCCTTACCCTGCTTCACGTTTGCAGGTAACTCCTGCTGAGAGTGTCTCCGCCTCCAAGAGAGCTGCTGGGTTCATGGATTCGTGCTGCAATGTGTGTCTGGTAGAAGCCCATCTATCACTGATCCTCATTCCCAGGGCTGTGTGACTTTTATCTTACAAAAATGCCTGTGACCTAATGCAATTTCCATGTGGATACTGGAATACTTCCATAAAACCAGACAAAAATAAAAGCCAGTTTGACCCTACGTTTTCAACTGGAATCTGGTTTTGGCAAATTTAACTCTGTCCTTCAAGCTGCTATCACAAAAGCTGTTTTCTATCAACACTGTCCCTAAATTCAGCAGCCCAGGATGGGACAAAGACTACCATTAACACTCTCCAAAACAAACTGAAGAGAGAGAAAAAAACCCAGCAAACAAAACCAAACAGCGGAATCAACATTTTCTGCTGGAAAACTTAGATTTTTCATTAACTCTTATGTCCATCAAAATATGAGTACACAGGAACCTTCTGCCCAATACTCTGTGCTCTGTCCCTCAGTTTAATTATTTAAATTCTCTTAACTCTTCTTCCACTACACATCTGCTGCTCCATCAAACTAAAGTCTTTGCTATAAGAGTAAAGACTTTTTAACTGTGCTAAGACCTCATACGCTTTCAATTTAGTTTGAGCCGTACTTGGCATTACGGTATGATGTATCTGTCCAAATTCTGTGGTTTAAAATTTCCTGTGTAAACGAGAACTTGCACATGCAAAAGAAGTAGCTGGTTTGCAATGGAGCACCAAATTAGGGCAAAATCACAAAGCTATAAAATTGAAAGCTGAAAATTGTGAAAACATCTTGTCAGGAAAAATGATTGAACTACATAGATAAATAATTCAATGAACTGATATGAATATTTGAAAAAAAGCCCACAGGCCATGACTGGACATTAATTACTTTAAAACTACCATTTACAGCTTCTCGGAGTGTAAAACAAAGGTCTTTTCAGTCTTTGTGACTCCAAAAGATTGGAAAGTAAAATGAATGACCTGTTTCAAAAGTTGTCTCATTTATATCTATGAAACAGAGTTAAAAAAGAATATCTATTTAGACATGTACATAGGCTTGCCATCAAAATTATGCCCATATAAAGAAAAATCTCTCTTTTGAAAATGTTACTTGCAGCTCTATGAAATTATATATTGTTTAATGTCAACCAAGAAATCTCTGCAGTCAGAATTAAAAATGTACCACTGACCTTTTCCAAAGTCTCAACCAGCATTCCCTCTCTCTCAAGCAGCAAGAATAAAATTCATTAACATTTTGATGATGCTCAAACACAGTCTAGAATTACTGAAATATTTAGGAAGCCACTAACTTATCAGTCCCTTTACATATTACTGAGGACTTTTCACTACAAAACCTTGTATGCATAAGTAATGACAGAAAGTAAGTAAGTACAGACCGTTAAACAAGTGAAAACCATAATTTCAGCTGGCTTCATAACAAGATTAATGAAGGACCAGAATTAATCTGCTTAGAAGGGAAAAGCAGCCAAAATAATATTTCTACTAGCATACTTTTCATTCTTAGTATTTTTCCAGTCAGTATTTGGTAAGGCAAGTTGCTTTACAGCAGCTGATTCCAAACTTTTCTCATAAACTTTTCTTTATTCTTTACAGTGCAGCACTTCATTTTCCAGTTGTCTACCACTTAGCACAGCAACCTGCTGTATGCATTTCTCTCTTACTGCTGAGGTCTGAGAAACAACATTTATCAATTCTGTAAATTCTGCTAGCTTCTGTCAGACTTTCAAACTGGCCAAGGGACCTTGTGTGGCAGCACCTTCCACGATAACAGGAGTCACATCTCTTGTCCTACAGCTCTGGGCTTGGGAGTGACGTGATTGGATTACCCCATCCCTTGTTGTTCCCAAGGACCTCTCTTCAAAGAGCTTCAGAGACTTACATTTTCTGCATTCATGGGGAACTGAGCATCCACAATAAAGCCCATCTCTGCAGTCACTGCTTTTCAGCAACAGATGTATCCTTAGGCACAGCACTGTTTAGTAGAGTAATGGAGGCTGTGAGCCTGCACTAGCTTACTGTGGACCAGAGGGTGAGGTCTGGCTGCTTCCACCTGTACACGCACTTACTGGTGCTATAAAAGGTAACACCAGGATTAGATCTAAAACCAGAAGCTGTATATTTTTTGCATGTTATTTGAATGATGTCAAGGTTCTGCGAAGACGAACTGAAGTAAAAATTTGACTTTGTAGGATTATAGAGCAAAATTATCACCCTTATCCCAGAAGTATATACTCAGTTAAACTCAGATTCAAAATCTGAATCCAGTCTTGGACATTACTTCTTCAGCTGAACTTTGTTCTTAATACCATTCCTCAGTTGGTTTACATTTTCTAATCCCAGTTTGCCAGTGAGATCCTAATTTACATGGCCTATTTTATCTTTTTTTTATCCAATCCCCAACTGTAACCATGCCAAGTCACAGGACCAACATGAGAAGTCAGTTGGCACCATGAGAACTCAGTGTAGAAGGGCTCACTTTGGTTCATCATCAAAGCTTGTTGGCCCTTCTCCAGTCCAGTATAAGGCAGTAGTAAATCCCAGGCTTTGCAGTCTGAACCAGTGGTTGAAGTTTTAAGCCCTCAGTCATTGCCTTGGGTGCACCTTTCCTCCACCTTTATTTCTTAGTATGGGAAGGTGGCTTTGTAGTCCTCATTTTATGGTTTTTTTTGTTTGCTTCATCTCTTTCCATTTCCTCAGGGAACACCCACAGCCTGACCTTACAGACTTTTCCTGTGTTTTCCAAAAGACTGCTGGATAACAACTATGTTTACAGGACGTTTGGCTCTAAGTACTTGAAGTACTTAACTGTCTTTATTACTTTAACTTTGAACTGGTTCTACTCATCCTCAAACAGATTTATACCTCAGAAGACTTAGTACAGCTGAGTATTTATGCGCTTTCTCCTGGCTCAGAACGCTACTGCTGAGGAGTTAAAAACATTAGGTAAACAGCTGTGTGATTCTGAACACAAAAATTAAACATTGTATTTCCAGTTACTTGCTGAGTGACTTTACATATGTTTTGTTGGTATGTGCCTCAGAAAAATGTGCTTGAAGAGTATTTAAAAATGTTTTGCCTAAGAAATGTGGAAATGCTTTCCATATCACATTTTGCCTCAGAAATGCTATACTCCTACTACAATACTCCTCTTTTAGTTTGCTAAAAATAGTCTTTTCAAGAGGCTGTGTGTGCTTTAAAGTAAAGTTCCAATCATTCCAAGTAATCTTTTACTTTTCTTAGTAAGTGTCTTTTGAAGTACATCCTGCAGAGAAATAGTGTCTTTTTCCTTACTTTAATCATTAATTCCGCACTGTATTGTGCTGTTGAATCCCCTGTACTTAAGAATGGTGGTTCATCTGTAACAAGGCATTTGTAAACAAGGGAAACATGAAGAATAAGACCTAGAAAACCAGATATCAGGCATATACATGAAAATAAAGTACCAACACCATCTAAAGTAGAATGTAAACAAAAAGTGAATAAAAACGTGATTTTGCAGCCTGGTATCATTCTTTTAACAAGACGGTGTATTTTTAACCAGTGATTGTAATGCTGCCTGTCTCATGGGTTTCATTCAGCTGCCCTTACTATCTCCAATGGATCCTCCACCCCAGCTCAGCTGATCCATAGGAGGAGCTTTGTTATATATCATCCTGATTTGAGACTCCAGAATAGACTTTACTAAAGTAAGAAATTCAGTTTCCACTCTTTTATGAGCTAATGGGCTCTGGCTGGCTTTTAGTACTGTCACCTGCTTCTCCTTTAAACTTTGGCAGATCGTGGTGTACATGTGTGTTTTGTACATGTGCACCTTAGAGCCGTACCGGCAACAGGAAAAGGAGTCTCTTTCTCCATTTTTGTGACAGCCATCAGCTTCTCTATGATAAGGGTTTTGGAATAATAATGTAACTTCTGTCCCTCCATCTGATTCCGATGCAACGTAGGTATTTCTGACACAGTTAATGTGAGCAGGATCACACACCATCTGGTAATATCCACGTACACTTTGAACTAAGATGCTCCTGTATAACTAGCACATACTGGTGCCTTAGTTCACTAAACAGCCTGCTGCTTCCTAGTTCCTAGTTCCTTAGCCTAGTGGGTTAAACATAGCAATCACATAATGAGAATTACCACATGCTGCTGGTAATTCTCAAGCAATCAAAAAGTATGCCAGGTATACTTTTGTCTCCTAAAATGAACCAACAGAAATAAATCTCTGTTCAATTAAGTGATGCCCTTATCTCTCCTCTTGGAATAAACATTTTAAACATCTTTGTTATAAAGTGTGGTTAATTTTTGCCTTTGGGAAAGGCCAGGCATGTCTTCACTGGCAATACTTCATAGGTGGAAACCATAGAGGATACAAGGAATCATTCATCATGACCTGGGCAGGTGTTAATCTAAGGTAACTCAGTATCTGTGAACTACCACCTCCTTTACAGTGACTCAGCAGTCTAATGGGGCTGGATGTCTGATGAATTTCTCTTTGAACTTCCCCAGGAATTCTGACTTGCCCTTGGGGGCAAAAGTACATCTTTAGAAACCCATGTATTGCCGCTACATTTCCTCCTAGATCTTTCCTGTCTGACAGAAGTGTGAACAACTACTCAATAAAAGGGAAATTTCCATGAAAGAAGGTGAAAGTACACACTGATTTTATGTTTTTGATTTTATTATTAGATTTGTGGGTAGTCAGGAAAATGTTCCTCTCATTTTCCTTTCTTACAGTTTTTCTTTCCTAGCATTGAGATTTTCTTTTTGCACAAAAGCCTGCAGCTTATTCTTAATACTAATTACCCTTTTAAAGTTAAAAAACATCCAAGATAATTATGGAGATGATGAGGAGAGTCAAATGGCAGAACTAAGAATATTGAAGTTTAAGATCTGTATGAGATGGCTAAGGCTGATGCTCCTAGAAAGAGAAAACAGGGAATATATGATTGGAAGCTTGTTATAACAAGATCATTTTTTGTTGTTTGTTGAATTCTCTAGCAAGAGTAGAAGAAATCAGTTTAAGCTGCGACAAACAAAACAAACCCCCACCTCTTTATTTATTCTAATGGCAAAATGCCTTATTGGCTGCTAGAAATAGAAGAATTTTAATTTCAGCTTAGTAACTGACTTTAAAGTCAGTTTAGGTCAGGGGTTTGCAGCCTCTTACAACTGGCATCCCATTTTGTGTTATGTGTTATGGAGTTGTAGATAAGGAAAAGGCTGCATTTCATCCAGTGGAAGCATGGATGTGATTGTGGAGTGTTTTTTGGTGTGACAATCATGATTTAGCAGAAAATGTAGGTAACTGTTTTGGAATAAACTGAAAGAAGAGGGAAAAATTAAGACCACTGAATCTGATGAAGCTCTAGAAAACGTAAATCTTATTTACCTGTGCAATCATTTCTGCAGTTTCAGAATAACTGCGGCATTTTTTAACAGCAGAACGAGCTAAAAAGTCATCAATCAGCCTTACACCAATGCTGTATCCCCTAGGGAGGAAACAAAGAAAGTTAACATTCAAAATGGGGAGCTTCTTACCATCTCCCTAATGTGTCTCTTGTGCTTTCTCAGAAAAACAGATGCATGTTCCTTATTGGGTGGCTTTGATGACAACAGATTTTGCTGGTCTATATTCTGTTTTCTACCACATTTTGCAACACAGTGGGATTGCTTTTCATGTAGTCATTTAAGGAATCATACTTCTTTAAGAATGATACTCCTGGCAAGGATGATATGAATTGTCTATACAATTTGCTTATACATTGTCTATATATACATATATATACACTTACGTTTACATGTATGAATAACTATTGGATATTAGATATACAAGTTTAATACATAACTAACATCCAAAATACACCTGATTAATACTGCTTTGTCACTAAAAATAAGATAGGATAACATAGCACAGAGTTTCCACTGTTCTTCTGGGATCCTCGGTGTTCTTCTCACATTATCTCTGTAAGGAGAACAAAGCAACTGTCCTTTTGGGTCACAGCCTTTACCTCCTGGCTGGTTCAGCAAATCTTGGGCACACTCATTGCAGCATTCAGGTGCTGGGAAAACCCATAGGGAATGGACTCACACCTGATCTCTTTCACTTTCTCCTCTTATCTCTTCACCTCATTTTTCTTTCTACCTCCACAATTCCCTCTTTATCTGTTTTTCTAACATGTTCTCTCCCTTCATCTAACTAGAAAAAATCCAGAAAAAATCCAAAAGGTTCTAATTAACACAGAGTTTTAGTACACCACCAACTTCATTTTGTGTTTAAAATACTGAAATGTCAAAAACAAACAAACAAACAAACAAAAAACCCAACAAAGAACAAAAACACAAAACAAAACAAATAACAAACAAACAAACAAACAGAAGATAATGGATTTATTTAATAAAAAATACTCATTCCTAGCTCTCACACATTAACAAAGGTCAGTAACTTAAAAATGTGCAAAAGAGCTGTGCTCCCAAGCATTTCCAATAAAAGGAAAGACATTGACACAAATGTTATGAAAGAATGTACACTCAATTCAGAAGTGTTTTTATGGAATTTTTCACTTCCATTTTTTGTGGATGTTGGCAGTCTCTGTCTGTTTGTCAGAGGCCCTACATCCTCAATGAAGCAGTCTGAACTCAATGCAGTCTCCTACCAGTTTCTGCATCACATCTTTGTCAGGAAACCAAAAACTGATCTGATGTCTAATGTGATGACCACAAAGTGGTTTTGGCAGTGTGAAGATTAAAATTGCAGTAGGTCATGCATCTAGAAACAATGAAATATTTATCTATTGCCTAAGTACCAATAACATTGGCAAATATGTCATCAGCATTTAGCAAGGTACGCATTGGTGATGTACAAGACTACTTAGATACTTTTCAGCTTTTACGCCTTGGGTTTGCGAAGTCAAATTAATAATGAATTGACAAGCAGCTGTTTGGCAACTGTACAGTGGAAAACATCCTTCTCACTACGGACTATATGTGCACAGAGAGAGAGAGAGAAGAATACAATCCCCACCTGTCACAGGTCTGCTAATCTACAAGGTTTCTTCCTGAAACCGGGCTGCTTTCATAATCACAGTAGTAAAGAACAGACATATTGTTTTAATGAAACCTGTAATTATATTATCAAGTCCTCCTCAGAACAAAAAGATTTTATGGAAACCGCTACAATAATGAAAATATAGGCAGCAAAATCCATCTCCACAGATTCTTCCAGAAGCCTGTACATTCTTTAAATGTATGAGAGAGATGACTATAAAATAAATATATGAGGGATGTTGTCCCTTCTAAGTTTGTGAATAAATTACTTTTCTTTTTTCCAAACACTGATTTTTTTAACTCACTCTCATGGATAGTTATTGGGTGATAGCTCATTTGCAAACTTTCAGGTTAATAGTAAAGTGGTCAGGTATTCTGTCCACTGTGATTGCTGTAAATCCATTTTGCATGTCCATTTTGTCTGAAAACATAAGCCTCACTGTTCTGCCAAAGACCTTAGTATATCTTGTTAACTAGCTCAGAAAATGTGTTTCTTACTGATTTTCCATGATATCATTATTTTTATGGCAGTAATGCCTAGGAATCTCAGTCAGGATGACAGGATCTTGTAATCATAGGATCTTCATTTTCCAAAGAGATTATCCACTTAAAAATACATTCTCATTGACTTTTTGTGCTGTCTCACTCATTGCTGTATGGTCTTCTAAAGGTGAGAGGCCCATCCGCCCCTAACCCAATGAGGGGTAAGTTGAAATTAAATACATGGATATAGGAGATGAAATTTAGAAGTTTATACTATTAATTAGCATAACATAAGGATCAACAAGGAATGAGTGTAAGATACGAAAACAATCCTGACACCATTCTTCTAAGAATTCAAAAGCTAATTGTTGATCTTAATTCACAAATTGCCATTATTTCTGTTGACAGAATATAAGACTGCATCCCTGTCATCTCTATAATCCTAGACAGAATGCTGGAACTTGTAAGACAACAAGCAAAAAGCTGAGAGGCAACATATAGCTGGACAAACAGCATTATGGATAAAGTTGAACATTTCAAGCAGTACTTACATTCTGTCTAAACAGGTGTTTACGTCTTCATCTTTTTCATAGTCCTTGCACAGCTGGGCTACCAAAGCCCCATAGGTGAGTACAAAAAGTTCTCTGCTCTGCCAGGAAATCAAAAATGAAGCAAACTAGAATTAAACTTTTCCAAGTTTTTTAACTGCTACCGTATTAACAGCAAGCAAGAATAACATTTGCATTAATAAAGAAACTTTTATCTATGGATGCATAATCACTGAAATCCACAATTCAAGTGTGACAGAACCTGAATTAATTGTCACTTGAGTCTGTACAAGGATTTTGCTTGTCAGAAATACCATTTCTTGGGATACTTGTAGTTATTTTTATTAGATGCATTCTTGCATCCTATAACTTCATGTGTGTATGCTGGATTGATAAATGCTGTCAAATGCCATCAAAGAATAATGACAAACATTTAGTTGCAGGAAGAATAATAGAGGCAATGAGGTATTAATTCTTTTGCAACAGTTTACAAAGGTAGGATTGATCCGATTCAAATCATCAGCTGATTTCTCAAAAAAAACCCCTAAAAAGCAGATAAAAAGTTTAACTCAGAATAATGGAAAAATACAATAATTCAACACAAGTGTAAAGAATAACAACAAGATGAAAGGGACAGGTGAGGATTGCAGCTGCTTGCCCAAGGAGCATGGAGAGCAACTGAATATGTCAAAGGCAGAGATTATGTCATAGTGCTAGTCTGGGATCTTCAGCTGTGGAGGAATTACTTAAAGGAAGGACTTTAGCCCTGTGGAATGTGACTAGACTAGAGGTGCTTTTTGTTTATAGCCTGGGGAAAAAATAGTGAATCACAATGAAAACAATAGAACAAATCACATGAGAAAAGGAAGAACAGCTTGGTGGAAACACCTATTCCTGCTCTCCTTGCATCAAGAGCTTGGAGTTTAATATGGAAACATTTCCTAAATTCAGCTTGGTGATAACTTCTGTTTACAATAATATTGCACACTTGGCCAAATTCTCATTAATGACTTTTTAATGGAGTAAATGGATGTCATACAAGTTCTGTATTGTATTATTATTGTTCAGCAAAAAGTCTATGTTGTAGTAAGAACAACACCTTAGAGAAACCCAAGCATTTTATATCAACATAACTGTATTTATCAACCACTCTTGCAATCCATTGGAATATTTTTTAGCCATAAATTTATGTACGTGAACTTAAATTATCTTACATTCTTCTGTTTGTTTTTCAGTGGAGACCTCTGTCCCCTGTTCAGAAATTACCACAACATTGCTGTAAAGCCTTCTGGACCTTCTCCACTGCCTGAACTCCTGTCAGAAATTGTCATTCACCATACAGAGATCCCTAAGGCTCCAAGTTCCTAAAGAAAGATTTGCATGGAATTGAACCATTCAAGCACTAACAGAGATCTCTTTCTCTCTATGTTTCATTTAAGAACCATCTAACCAAGGAGGCAAATAAGCTTACCTGGCATTCCTGTCTTTGACCATAAATTGTCCAAAGCACTTAAACCTCTGTTTCTGAACACATCGCAATCTCAGAAAGTTTGTGCCTGCCCCTCTCCTAAGCCTGTTCAGAATCTCAGCAGTAGGGATAGTAGCCATGAATGCTGCCAGTACCTCTTCTCTTGTACTGGCAGATGCATCCCCATCCTTTCAGTACTTTCAGAGTGTTCAGAAATACGACTGCATAATATACATCAATACAGTAATAGCTTATTATTATTCCATGCACAATTTTAATCACACATTACAAAAGTGTCTTACTATTTTGTGGTTCTCCTGTTTTCTTCCCGGTGACTGAGACATGTTGCTTATGTAATCCCTGATGTACTCAATTGTCAGTTTACGTCTGTTCTTCCTCAAGCAGCATAGTTTTCTCTCAATCACTGTATTTCCTCTTTCTCTTCTCTAAAGTGTTCTCCTCTCTGCTCTTCTGCCTTTTGCATGAGATGTGTTTGCTGCAGTCTGTAATGCTGTTGGTGCTCCTCCTATCCTCTATGTGTATTGAGCCCTTTGGGAGGAATTTGACTGGCAACAGATCTGCCCCTGTCCGCAGAGTAAATAATGACTTCATCCATGAGAATGGTACACAGCAAACACCCATGGGAAGTCAAATCAGATAGCCCCAAGACATTCACAGGTTTTGAGAGACATCAAATTAATTTTGTTGTTTCTGTCAGATTTTGGTGTTTGGAGAGCTAACCAAAGCTTCCTCTCTGAAGAAAAAAACCACAGGATACTGCTGCAGATAGTAATTAAAAATTGATCATTTTCAACTTAAAGGAGTTGTAGTCTCATGTCACTCTGACTGCTTTAGTCTAGTGAGTAGGTGTCTGCCTAAGCAGGGGCAGTGTGGGTTATAAGGCACTGCTACCACCACGATTCTGCAAAGCTGGCAGGACAGATCCAGAGAATTTCCAGGTTCCCAGAGGAATAAACTGTGTACCTGCTACAGCTACCAGCTTGTGCAAATGGTACTTTCATTAACAGCGTTCCTTGGGGCTGTTCTATCATTCTTAGGCTGTTATAGCCCCTATTTGTAAACATCCTTGCTATGAACATCCAGGTTTATTTTGCCTGTTTCCCCTGTAGTAAATCTGGTCTATGTGGTTAGCTTAGATTTGCAATACATTTCAACTATTGTCGCAGATGAATTTAAAAATTAGATAGCTGTCATTCCTTATGGGACGAACTTGATCATCTAGTCCCACTGAGCCCTCTCAGGAAAGGAAGGAATAATATACAGCCTCATCTCAGAATGTCATGCTGTTATTAAATTTCTAGTAATTAATAGATTCAGTATTAGAGTAAAAATACAGATATTTACTAGTCCACATACACAGAAAACATTCAGATGTGATTAATTTGGGATAAGAAAGACTATTTACCTTAAAAATGGTAATTTAAAGTTATGACACAATTCAATAACAAAACGTAGGACAGATAAAAGGATTTGCAGCTTTTTCTGTAAAAACTTAGTCAAACTAACATCTTTTATTTTACACAGAATGAATTGGTGTTGACAACTTTACAGTATAATAAGACTCTAAGGTTTGGTTTTTTGTTTGTTTTTGTGTGTGTGTGTGGTTTTTTTTGGTGGGGTTTTTGTTTGGTTGTTTTGGGGGTTTTTTTGTTTGGTTGGTTTTTTAAGGTGTTTTTCTGGCCTGTAAAATCCTACTCCATTTTATAGGTGAAACTATCGTAGGTACTTCCTATATCTAAATTTAAATAAATTTTAAAAGCCACACATTACAATTATCTTGATAGTTACTTGCATTTCTAAATTGAGTCTGAGATGGATTGATTTCTCTACTTGTCCCCAGCTGGCAAAAAGCATTAAATATGTCTCACATTGCAAGTCATCCCATATTCCACAAGAAAGTGTACTGCACTGTATTTTAAAAACAACTGCAAAAGATTATCATTGCCATAATTTAACTTCAGTGAACCCATTGAAAAGCACTTAAGGCTACCCATAAATGACCACCACTTTATTTATATGGTTCTGAATACGTGGATGAATCACTTCAGCCTGCATTATTAATACTATAATAGTGAAGGAACACTGTGGACCAGATGGTGCAATGTATCATAAGGACACATCGCTGTTCTTTGAAAATACACACATATAAGTTCACACACAAGTTCTTATACTCAAATCCCAGTTTGGCTGCTGCTTTGTCAACGTTTCTGAATAAAGCAATGCTGTTGCTGCCTCCTTGCCTGCAGAAGCGTTTTCAGTGTGACCTGCTGAAACTTCCTTGGTTAGGTTATGCCTCTCAGGAACTGTTTTCAAGAGGGTGTTTTGGGATTTTAGTGCCTACTTTCTGCTGAAGCTCTCTGCAGGCACCTGAAATCTCATATAAATTTGCCTATAAAGCACAGGTAAATTCTGAAGCAAAATATGTAAGCTAAACAAAAAAATCATTAACTGGTTTCTATTCTTCCCTTAACTTAAAGCTTGTCCTAATTAAAGGGAGGGGACCTTCTCCCTTAAACAAGCCAAAGAGACCATGAAAATGACTTGGTAGCCTGAATCCCACCTTGGTAGAACAGAAGACATGGGCAGTGCTCCCCTCACCTCCCACAGGAAATCTGTCAGGCAGGCACTTTCATAGCATGCTTTCTAACATGCACAGGCAGGCTTGACATCCATGCTAAAGAGAACTCAAAATGCTTCTGGAGGGGCCACAGAACATCAGCCTTTTGGCTGCTAATTTAGTGATGAAAACACGTGCACAGGACCAGAGAGACCAGGGTTCAGTCTCCTCCTCCTCCAAACTTCACAGGAAGCAACCTTCAGATGGAAAATAGAAGAACACTCTTTCTCCCTACGTTTTCCTGACCAGTAGATAACAAAATCCTAATCTTTTTTTGATCCAATAAGTATCAAAATCCTCTCTGTGGGGAAAGTAAGTGCAACTGGTATAACATGAAAGCTGGAACCACAGTCACATCACATAACTAATAATACTGAGATTTTGGAAGAAAGAGATGAGTGAGTTTTTAGTAGATGAGGTAGAGAAGGGGCCTGAAACCAATCTCTACCTTCTGCCATGGTTGCTTTATTTCAATAAAAGCCAAAGAAGATAATAAAATCTCTCCCTTCTGCCATGGTTGCTTTATTTCAATAGAAGGCAAACAAGAGAGAATAAAAACTGTTTGCTGTGTATGGGAGGATAGGAAGGTGTAATATGTCTTCCAATAACCATGTTTTAAAAAAAATGACAAATCATTCTCAGTTCTTAAAAAAAAAAAAAATCAATTTTTCTCATAAGTGAGGTTACTGGCAGTGAGTTCAAGCTGGCAGAGCCCTGCAATAAGACAAGCAAAACCATGGCTAAGGTTTACTCATGTATCCTATTTGTTTCAGATGTCAGATATAAGCATTTTTTTGCCTCAGAGGCCAGCTGGCTGTCACCTCAGGTAATGGTGTTTTGGATTGCATTCAGTCCTAACTCTTCCTGGGAATCAAATAAAGCCTAAATGTCTACCCCAGGACTCTGGGTTCCTCTGCAAAGGTGAGCACTTAGAAGTTTTGTGCCACCCAAGCTTTTAATTGGATGCAACCCTATAATTTCTTCCATAATAGGATGACCCAGCAGGATCACTTACAGCAGAGCATGAAAGCAAATGCCAAAGAAGTGAAAATGCAGAAGCATAAAGCTGTAGTATTGATTGTTTAAATTGCCTCATTCAACAGCCTTAGGCTGACTATGAATATTTCAGTATTGTACACCACTTCAGTTTCACATTTAATGTGTTTCTGGAGTAAACAAGTGATGCTTGGGAAAGCCTTCCTTCTTTATAAACAAAATAAGACAAGGGTTCCCAAAGAAAACTCAGAAGCAATCAATCAGAGATTTTAAAACAAACTGAGGCATAATGGAAGTCTCATAAAACATATCTTCAAAATAATTCTGTAATAGCCTAATGGGCTATTTCACTGACTTTTTTTAAATCAAAATACAATGCCACCAGTACAAAAAAAAAAATAGTTGAAAAATTCCTGTTATACTGAAAGAAAATTAAGGTTCAAAATGGCAATGTTTAGACAGCACTGGGATTTTGTTGAGCTAATGCTCTGTCCAAACACCTAAGATCTTAACAACAAGCTCCAGAAAAGCTGTGGCAAAGTGCTGCTGGATGTTTCAGCATGTTTCTCTATTGCTTTTAATTCTGTGCAGTGGTGTCACACAATTTGAGAGCCAGTTACTAACAAAGACCTCTTTCACAGATGGTGAGTGGGGATGAGACAAGCAGGTGTCCACCCTAGCAGAGCACTGGAGAAACAAGGTCTTGCCTAGAGAACCGACAAGGCACGTATAACATGACATCCACGTGTATAACAGCTGAGAGAGTGTCTCTGCCATCCAAGGGGATACCATGGGTGCTAAAACTACTATTTGAGATAAAACTTATTATGAGCAACCCTCTCTGTAAGAGGAGGAAAGAGGCTGTGCAGACAGATATTATTATATCACACCACCAAGTCCGCACATGCTGTCGACAGAGATTTGTAATGGGAAGACAATTTTCCCCATAGACTTTCTGGCTGAATTTCGGCTTCTGTTCTTGGTAAAAATGTTTATATTACAGACAGTTGAGTTCTCAGTACTTAAACAGAAGTATTTGTAGAGTCAGATCAGCCTAGGTTATGCAACATATAGAACTACTGGATAGGATGACCACAGAAAAAGTGCAATCCGGAGGAAATCATCCGAAGTAAAATGTTCTACATTTTTCAGGCCTCTACTTAAGGCTTGATTTGTGACCAATGCCCAGAGCCCTGGACATCCCAATATCCAGAAACCAGCTCTGGAAATGCTTAATTGAAAAATTTCTATCTATCTCAGCCCACAGAATGGGACTCACCATACTTACAGAAAATCTTAAAACTTGTAATCACAAGTATACTATATAAATGCCAGCTGGTTTGACACTGTGTGAAGTGAATAGTGGATTATACATTACCAAAAAAAACCAAAACCCCAAAAAACAGCTTTCCAAAGGAAACCAGCACTGTCAGGAAAAGAGATATGCCAACTTCTTGCCACCCAGAGGTGAAACACTAAAATCCTCATTGCTCAGCAGATAACTACATCTCAGACTCCAGTTTGGAGAGCAAATTGCCCCAGAATTGACATTAAATAGAAACAGCACAGGGACTCCAAATGTTGTGTCACTTATGGAATATTTTATGGGTTTAGTTTAAAGTGGAATCTAAAATTTACATTTAAATTTAAAATTCAGATTTTAAATACTTCATTTTTAAAATAATCAGTCCAGGTGCCAAGTCTTTGTTTGGTTGTTCTTTCATGGAGAACAGCTGAAAGATCTCCTTTTTCTTTCTTTTTTTTTTTTTTTTTTGTGTCCTAGTCTCATGCCATGTTCCTGCTAATTACTGTTGATTAGCAAACAGCTTGGCAATTAATCCTGGCAAGTTAGTCATCAGTTTGATAGCACTGCATGTCATCCAAAAGGTAGGGGGAATTCATTGTTAGTTTCAGACAATTAGCAAGGGGCTGGCAGAGCTCACAACTGCCTAAAAGCTCAGTGTTCCAGAACTGCTGAGACGAATTACTGAATCAATTAAATCACATCAGTGGATGTCTGCAAGCATATTTAAAGGTAGGAAACAAGCCACTGAGAATTAGGGGGAGGGGAAAGACTAGCAGGAGGGTTTTTTTGGTGTTGTGTTTGGTGGTGTTTTTCTTAAGCTGTCGGAGTTTGTTCTGTTCTTCCATTAAAATTAGTTAAATTTAGCTAAAAGCTGGTGTTGACTTAAAGTGAAATAATCTAGTAAAGAGTAAGAGCTAAAATGACTTTCCTTCCAAAGTGGTTAACTTTTCTGAAAGGCAAAGAAGTTGTTATTGCTAATGCTATAATTGCAATACTGACAATTGGTGGGCAGCAGCTTTTCTCTTTTTTCACGTTCAGTTGTCCCTGTCATGTTGGACAGAACCTTATTTATGGGCTGGCTTTCCTAGGAGTTCCTGCACTGATCCTTCTGATTCTTGGCTATGCCCTGAATAACCAAACTTGGAGGCTGGTTACAGGCAAAAAATCTCATTTTGAGAACATGACTACATCAGACCGGTTACTGAAATGCAAGCTGATCTGCTTTGTCTTGTGTAGCATCACTGGGAGAGCACTGGTTGCTCCAGTAACATGGCTAGCAGTCACCCTGATAAATGGCTCATATTACATCTGTGCTGTGAGTGAGTATGTCCCTACATATTATTATGGAGCTAATCCTAACATTACTGCTAGTGAACGCAGAAGGATATTGGCTACATTTCCATGTAGTCAGTTAGTTCCACCAGAGATGACCCGGGCAAGAGATGAAGTGATTCTCCTACTCCGATACCAGTCACAAGTGAGTAACTCATGTTGTTTCTGTTGCCTGTGAACCTAATGATGAGAGGTTAAGTTAATTCATCAAGCAAAGTGTTAGGATAGAACAAGATCAGTGCCTTGTGTCATGAGTGTAAAATCTCTATGTGTTTTGAAGCCTGCTTTTTTCTTCTAAGCGGAACTGAATTTTAAGTATATAAGTTACTATATCTGGTTGTCCCATTTGTTACCTGCTATGAGAGGATATATTCTTCCTTGTGTAGTATCCTGAAAAGTACTATCAAGTAAGACAAATGAAAGTCAAAGAGCCAAGGAAGGGTATGAAGCTTCTTCATTAAAGAACAAGAAATGTGTGGCTAAGAGGCCCAGGCTATGAGAGTTCCATGGGAACCAAGATAAAATCTTGGGTTTTAGATCAGACTCAATTTTAAAAGTTTACATACTGAGTAAATAATAGGGTAAACATTAAGTTGACACTTCTGAGAAAATTGGTTTTAAACAGACCATAAGCTAATACAGTCTAGAAGTTACAAGGCTTCTCTTCTAATAATAACTGCTGTTAGAGCAATATACTTAAAATCATACAACAGAACTTTCTTAAACCTGACAGGAACAAGTGACTTTACTACACGGCTGCCTCCAGTAGGCATAGACTGTGTTTGGTGGCAACAGACCTTTTCCAGGCTTGTACCTTGTTAACATTATTATTTAGGACAAGCAAGTAAAGATCACATGGATTTTCTGGTGTTCGGAAGTTACCACTGTATTTTCAGCTGTAACAGTTCTTTCTTTCCTTTTCCTTTGTAAGGTGGCTGGTTGGCTTCTGATTGCTGCGGTAGTCATCACTGTCTTCCTGTCTTACTGCCTGGCAAGCTGTTTCTCCCCGCTCAGCTTTCTGCATTTCAGATACTGGAGCAGCTATGTTCACAATGAGCAGGAGCTCTTTGATGAGGCAACGGAGCAGCACTCCAGGCTCTATGCCATGCAGCATGTAAGGAAGTTTTTTGGCTTTGTCCCAGGAAGTGAAAATGTAAAGGAAATTCGCATCCCATCTCTCAGAGAGTGGCAAGCCATTTCTGGACTGGCCTTTCTAAAACAAGTGGATGAGGAGCACTACGATTATAGTCTCCTCCATGACTGGGCACTCAAGGAACGTGCAAATGGAAGATACTTGAAGACTGATGAAGACCCTTTGATCAGAACACAGCTCTGAGGATCCAAGCCACCATACCACCTTGCAGAAATGCAGGAACCTGTCTCGCTCTGTATCAGACCTGAGCAGCTCTGGAACTTCCCAATGCATTATTACATTGACATATAAACTATGTGAGCAAGTACATCTTGTTAATGTAGTCCTTTAGCATGCTTACAGATGCCTTTACTGATGGCATCTGACTCCTAGGGGATGTGAGCTAAGTCTAGATTAGGGTGGGTTGTTTCAAACTGCAGCTCTCTGCTTTCTGATAGTTGTGCTAAAAGGATAAGTATGTACTGGTAAAGTTATTTGCAGATGCTTTTTTGAATTTTTTTCTTCCCATTAAAAAGATTTTTAATAGCTAGATTTTTGACAGCATCCTCTGAGTTGGTCCATTCTGTACAGAGCAAAAGCAGCTATTCAGCTTTTCTCTCAGTGAGTCCTAGCATAATTACTTATGTCTTCTCTTCCATTTTTCTTTTTTTTTTTTTTTGTATTGTATGAATAAAGTACACTGAGCTAACTATAAGCTAAGTTTGTGGCTACAGTAGCACAAAAGAAACATAGAGGAAATCTTATTGTCAAAGGCTGAGTCTAGATACAATGATGAGAGAACTTTCAATTCTAGTAAGGAGAGAAAATTCCCAGTGAGGCAAAGGATGGAGGTATCCAACACGTAGCAGCTGTATGAACAAACACTTCACATTTGGTAAACTGAGTTGAAAGCTATTCTGGCTGAAAGCAATAGTAAGATCAGTCTCGTTTTTAAAAACACTTCAAAATCTCTCAGGTGTTTGTGTGCTTGCCCACTGTACAAACAGCAAATCAGGACAGGAAAAAAAATCTCATTTTGTGCAGTAAGGTTTGCTTTGCCTTCAAAGATCTTGTAGTTTAGGCATACTACTGGGCCCATGAATGTTACTGTGATTAAAAACTACTGAATTTAGTGAAAGAAGGCTTAATGATGTTTTTGTGTTAATTCAGTGTAGTATGATGCGATGTTATTCATCTCCTCTCTAACTCCTTGTGCAGATGTTTCTAACTCTAAAAGGGTTTGGGGGGAAATGCATACGGTAATTTTTCCTAATGCTTCCTGTATTGCCTTGTCATGTACATATACACATGTTGTATGCTCCAAAGCTACATGCTAAACTACAGGATGCTATCTGCTATTAATAAATGACCCCTGGTGGTTGAGGTGGAGAAATATAATTATTTGGTATGTTTTACTAGAAAATGCAGGAGCCAGAAGTAAGTTACATTACAAATTGTGGTAAATGTGTATGATCTTGAGATTTAAACTTCTAAACAAAAGCAAGCATTTTAGCAAATGCAAACAATGTATTTGTTGAATAACTGGAAACTATGCATCACTTTATATCATTCATTTGAACCCTAAGCTTTTGCATAGGTAGTGGGTTGACTCTGACTGGAAAACAGGTCCTCACCAAAGCTCCTCTGTCTCTCCCCTCCTCAGCTGGAGAGGGGAGAAAGGATATAAGGAAAGGTTCATGGTTTGAGATAAGGACAGGGAGAGATCACTCCCCGTTTACTGTCACAGGCAAAACACATTCCACTTGGAGAAATTAGTTTATTTTATTACCAATCAAAGCAGAGTAGGACAATGAGAAAACTCAATCTTACAGTACCTTTGCCCCCTGCCTTCCTTCTTCCTGAGCTCACTTTCACTCACAAGTCTTCTACCTCCTCCCATTAATGCAGGGGGAGAGTTAAGGGGGGTTGAGGGCAGTTCATCACATATTGTCTCTGCTGTTCCCTCCTTCTCAGCGGAGGGCTTCTCCCGTTCCTCCCCTGCTCCAGTGTGTGATACCTCCCACAGGCGAGAGTCGTCCACCAGCATCTCCCAATTTCTGTCAGAAATGGCATTCAGCTGCCTTCACAGTACCCTTCTATGATACCTAGAGCATCGGGTTTGAATCCTGTTCAGTTTGCTGATCCCTGTAAGTTTTCAATGGAAGAACGCTGAAGGGTGGATAACACAGCAACGCGCTCTTTGTAGTGACCCTGAAGCCTGCCTCTCTAGGTGGGAGCCCACATACCACTGCAAGTCCAAGTAACACAGACCGCCGACCTCACCTCCGCTACCGCCGCTGCTCCCGGGAAGGGCGGGGAAGCAGCGCACGTGCGGAGCGCACCTTGGCGCAAGGATTCCTCCTGCACGGCAGGTACGGGCGGGCAAACGCGCCCGGCCCGCTCCACCCGCAGCTGAACGCCAGGCACCAAGCGCTAGAATTCGCTGAGCAGAAGGCACGGCACCTTATACCTCCCCCAGTGATGAAGAAAGTCCCAGCCGGCTCCCTGTGCCCTCCCCTCTGCCTTTCGCCCGGCCCGGCGTTAATAGCAGCGCTCGCCGCTCCGCCTCCCTCCGTCCCTCCCTCCCTCCGTGCCGTGCAGCCCAAAGGCATCCAGCGCCGAGCGCGAGCGCTAGGCATGCTAGGAAGGGAGGGCAGCGGGCGGGGAGGACGCAGGCGCGGGCGGGCGGGGAGCGGCGGGCCGGGGTCGCTGCGCGGGGCGGGCGGCCCATGGCCGTGGGCGGCGGCGGGCGACGATGACCGACTACAGCGAGGAGCAGCGCAACGAGCTGGAGGCGCTGGAGTCCATCTACCCGGACTCGTTCACGGGTGAGCCGCGGCGGGGCCGCGCCGTGCCGGCGGGACGGGCGGGAGGCCGCGCCGGGGCTGCCCCGGGGCTCCCGCGGGGCTCAGGAGCACCCGCTTACCCCACGGCCTGGATGGCTATTTCGGGCTTTTTGTTTGCTTTCCCTGGGGGGGGAGGAAGAGCAAAGCACTCGGTGGCTCTCGTGGCCAGGCAGGTGAGCGGCGTGGGCGCTGCCTGTGCCGCATTTGGCACCGTGGCACAGCCTGCCCGGCGTGGGCACCCGCTCCTGTATCCCAGCCCGGGCTGCGGCCGGTGGAAGGATGCTCTTGGGAGAAACCTTTCAAAAGATGAGGCCCTAGGTGGCAGGTGGGGAACTAGCTTGTGTGACGGCTAGTTTTCCTTTTCGGTAATAGCTTGTCGCGACCGTGCAGCACGGGATGTTTTGGGGCACCTAAAGACGCTGTTTTCTCCGTAAATGACCTCAGCCAGTACCTGCCTTATTCTGTTACTGGTCTGTGGTGAAAAAAGGCAAGCTTTAATTCCTTGGTGAAGTATGTTATACTACTGAAACTTTTGTAGGATGGATACGTTGGTTCATCAGTTTTCCAGGACTTCCAAGTTACCATCAAACAATTAAGAGTATCTACCATGTTAGCTAATCCAGCATGGTTTATGTTGCTCAGTATCCAAATAATTTTAACAGTGAAAAAAAAGGGCATTTTCAGTATCTACTCTGCCCAAAGTCCCACAGTATCTTATTTGACAGCAACTTCATCACACAGACGTTTGTCCATTGCTACAATCAGAAAATCTTTTTGGTTCTTCAGTTTTATGTTAAAGATTAGTTAAAGACATGTAAATTGATCTCTGGTAGCTGGTGACACTGAATCACTGATATGGAACTAATATTCTTTCATAAAGCCTGTGCTCTGATGCTAACTCCACAGTTATTGTTCATTCATGTAGTGCTTTTATGCCCAAGAGAAGAAGAGGGGATAAAGATAGTAGTAGTACATTAGCAATTAGGCAAAATTCACATAATAGTCTGAGAAAATGTATGCTAGCTTGGACATAGGTTGTAACAGGGATACATAGAGAGCAATCCTTATGTGAGGATATGGTCTGCAACCCACAGTTGTGCAGTGAGGTTTTCAGCCTGTGAAAAGCAGATCACAGCGCTTGCATTCTGTGCGTCTCCATAGGAGCCACTCTTTGTCTGTCTTCTAGCTGCCTAATTCACACACTTTCATTCTGGTACATTACTTGGGTAGTCTATTCTTGAAAGAAGACTCTGTGTATTCCTTTTTTGTTTCAAGAAGCATTTCTTACATTTAGCTGCCCTAAATATAAGTGCAGACATACTGTAAAAATAGTCCAGGGTCAAGAGTACACTGGATGCTCATCACATGTATCTGGCACAGTAAAGCCAATTAGCTTTGGGAGCTTTCAGAACACATTCCAGGCACTAAAAGAAGTCATTTGATGGTAGGCAGATTTGTACTTTCTGGAAAAGTGAAACTGCCAGAAGAGAAGGTTTTCCAAAAGAGAAATTTCTTGGTATTGTTAGTGTTATATGTGCTCATTCAAAGAGCACTCCAGGCATCACATCATATGGAAAGCAGCTGTTAATGCAAAAGTATTTATTAATAAGGCCCTTAACACTGTATCTAGGGCTTCCTTTCTTCATTAGTCCTTAACAAGTTTTAGTGATGTGAAGAAGTAATTGACTGATTTAAAGAATCTCTCACTGACTTTTTTTTTCCTTTGAACAGTACTGTCAGAAAAGCCAACAACTTTCACAATCACTGTGACATCTGAAGCTGGAGAAAATGATGAAAGTAAGTTGGTTATGTCTTAAACATATATAAAGGAGGAGTTTCTGTGTAGCCCTAATTCTGTCGCCAACAACTATGTATACCTCCATTTAAGTCCTCTTAGGGGCCTGATACAGCAAACACTCCTCAGCAAGTGAAGTTCAGGGATTTTAGTGATCCTTGTTTAGTTTACAGAAATGTAAATGCTCTCAGTAGGACTGCTTTCTGCTGAATCTCAAAGGCTTTGTAGTGTAGCTTCAAAAAGTATGGGTTGTCATCATCCTTGTAGCAGCTTACAGCCACGTGAGGAGATTTTTTCCTAGCAATTGTATGTATACCTGTCACAAAGGAGAGTTGAGTTTGTGGGCTCTGAGTGTGCAGCCCTTAAGGAACAGTACCAGAGCAGAGGGCTGTGGGTCCCAAGTCGCTGTATATTTGTTGGGTGTCAACAATTGCATGGGCATGATGTAAGCAAGCCTTGCTCCCAGCTTGTTTGGAAGCTGCTATTCTGGATTATTGTAACAGAAGGAATAAGCTGGTCCTGTCTTGTTAAGTTTTAAAGGAGCAAGTCCTGCTTGGAGCAGGTGTCTGCGTTTAAGTGACTGATGGGCTGCCAAGTACTGTGAGTCTGGAACTAAAGGAAAGCTTCTCCCTGGTATTCTGTGAGGATGTATAAAAGGACCTTGATTTTCTTTTACATTGTTTCCATGTTATCCTGGCTCTGAGCAGCTTCAGGTTGAATGTGTTTTCCTTGGGTGGTTCTCTGCTTAATACCTCCTACTGGACATAGTGTTTTTGTCATAAGATTTATGGGGAACTGTGGAACCCAACACAGAGATTGATAATCCAGCCAGGCACGCAGAATTTAAAGTGCTAATATGCTGAGATTCTCTTTAGGTCTGTTGTTAGGACTCTTCACCATTTTCCAGCTTTAAGTAGAGTAAGAGGGAGAAGAGATTACTGCTCTGGTATCCACCATACCACAGAAGGTTTTCCAGTCTTCCTAAAGACCTTTCAGACATGAATGGATTATAATAGTTTGTACAAGTGTAAACTTGTTCATAATCTTAATTTCTCAGAACTCTTGGTTTATGTTTAAATCTGTTAATTATTTTAATATCTGTGTAAAAAGACCATTCTCTTAAGGCAAGAATATTTTATAATCTTTAGGCTGTCTATACAATAGAAAAATATACAAGAAATTTATATAGATTTACCACCATAAGAATGTGTGTTTTTTTATCTTGTAGCGGTCCAAACAACCCTTAAATTTACCTATAGAGAAAAATACCCTGATGAAACTCCACTTTATGAAGTTGTCTCACAGGAGAATCTTGACGATAATGATGTCACAGACATTATAAAACTGCTAGAGCAGCAGGTAAGGAAAATGGAATATCGTGATACAGCTTGATATCACTTCACACTTTAGCCAGAACTCTCTCAAATCAGTTGTTTTCTGAGGTATGTGCTACTGGTCTGAAACTGTAGGGACTGACTGTGAGGTTTGAGTTTGGTGAATGACATTATTGAGGTAAACTGTGGTAATGAGGTAAAATATAGGGCTAATTCAGTGTGTATGCTAATGAAATGGAAGTGCACTAGAGCCTCCCCTCATTTGCAGTTCTAGCTTAAGGAGAATTTGTCTAACTATATATATAGTATTTATGAAAATAAACCATTTCAGTTTTATTTGGAAATACTGAAAAATGCCACATTGATTCTTGATTCTTTTTAACAATGTAACTGTTTGGGTGGTGGGGGTGG